AATAGGAAGTTGAGATATATATAAAATGCTTTTAAAATAATAATGTAAAGAAAGTAAAGAAAAAGAAAAGGTGTGAATTTCACTTTATACTGAATTTTATATAAAATTTTACTTTGATTTTTATTTTTTTTTAATTGTGACCGCTAATTTTTTATACTTTTAGTCAAGTATGAATCTCACGCTTCCATTAGTATGTCATTCTAACATGTAACATAATCTCTACGTATATCACTGTTATTATTTGGTTACGTGAGCCTCACATGTGAATTATATCACTCATTTGAACGGAGGATTGGCAAAAAAGTAACATTAATACTTGATTAAAAATGTAAATGTCAACTGTTATAATTAAAAAATAAAGAATTAAAAATGCAATTTGGTCAACTAGATAAAATGAAAGGAAGAAAGTAATAAAGCTCTGTTTGATTCCTTGAAAATTAAGGAGTTGTTTGGAATGACCTAAATAAGTGTATTTTTTATCTTTTTACGAAAAAATGTGTAGAAAAGTAAAAAGATGATATGATGAAAAAAAGATAAAAAGATGAATTATTTTAGAATTGTCAAACTTGACCTAAATATAATAAGAATAAATGATAAACTTAAGTGGGATGGGGGGTGGGGGGTTTAACCAATCCCAACAGTGGGGAGACTAGTAAACCCCCAAATGACAGAACTATTTTCAATGAGTAAGGATCCTTTAGAATTTTTTTTTCCCTAAGTTTGTGTTGTATGGTTGAGGTTTAATGACAAGTCACATCAATTTTTTAACATTAAATCTCATCCATACAACACACCACTTTAGAAAACTTTAGGAAAAAAAAACTCTAGAGGATCCTTGGTGATTTTCAACCAGACAACTCATAGAAGGGAATAAAGAAAAAGGAAAATGTTTGAGGGCCCTAAAATTCGAGCCATTTGAGCCACAGAAATTAGGGCCCTCTATCATTGTTGAAAGAAAAAATAATTTTTGGATTACATAGAAGCAATAGAGGGTTGATAAAAACGTGTGGAATTATAATTTGAATTGCAAATCAAATACAGACTAGAATTTTTTTAAAGTAAATTTTGAAAATTGAAACCAAACAAATGAGATTGGTTTGGAATCGGTATTTTTAGTTGTTTTTTTTTATTAATTTTTTTTAATGAACTTTTTTTTTTCAAAAATTTAAAAAGCTTTACGCTTTTAAGTTTTACTCAATTACACCGATCAACAATTTAAAAAAAAAATTCACTAAAGATACAACAATAACAAAAAAAAAAAAATTGCTTCTTTTTTTTTTCTTTATCTTTAGTGAATTTTTTCAAATATTTTTACTTTTAAAATTTTTCTACATTAAATAGACAGGAAAAGTAAATTTTTTTTATATAACTTCACAAAAAAGAAAAAAAATCAATAAAAAAGAAGTTGAGAATGTAGATGCCAAATTAATAGCAGATTCATATGTTAAATTATTACAACCGGACTCAATATTTCTTTTCGAATTCCAAATTTTTAAAATTTTTTAAGGATATAGTCTTAGTTTGGTAAATATTTTAGGGCTAAAAAAATAGAAAAAAAGACAAAATGGACTATATAAGTCAATAAAATAAAATATCACACCGAAACTATAATTATTTTATTTTTTCTCTCACAAAAATTTAAAACACCCAAAAACAAAAACAAACGAGGCTAGAAAAGTCCTTACACAAAAAAATTGGCTATTGTAACAAATGCCAAACGAAGCTATAATTAAATAGACTCTCGGTTATTTAATAATGACATAACAAATGATTAAGTTTGTGATAAATTAAAAATATATTTTTTTATATTATATATTGAATTAAAAAAATATTTTCTGCAAAAGCTAGGTTGAGATTGAGAGAAAACAACACTGAAAAGGATAGGATTGAAAAGAAGAAGATTTCTCTATCTCTCAACTCACAAAGCTTATTGGCCTTGCTTTAAAAAAAAATTCGTAAACTAAAAACAAATTGAACTAGGGGTGTAACTTAGGTTGGCTCAACCCGAGCAATCCGAACCCAATTCGAATTTTTTTAAGACTTGGACAAGATATTTTCAAATTCGGTACGGGCTTTGACAAAAATTCAAAAGCCCAAATTAAATTTGGACGGGCTTGGGCAAAGACATCAAATAACCCGAGCAACCCGAAACTTGAATTATACATATATAGATATATAAAAATATTAAATATACATATAAATTATTAGTCATTACATGACATTAAAGTAATTTATATTATTAAATCATATTGAATGTATATTATATATACAAATAACATAAAATCTTACTTTTTTTCTTTTTATTTTCACTCATAAATTGTAAGAATTACTATTGTGTCATCTCTCTTACATTATATAAATTATTTGTTTTGATGGTATTAATGATTTTCTATTAAAAAAAAAATTGTAAATAGAGTCAAATTTTAATAATTTAATAATGTAGGTGCAAAAAAAAAAATTTAAATTCATTTACAATTCGGGTAACTCGGGCAGTTCGAGTTTAACTCGGGTCGGGCTTGGGCAGACAACCTCGGATTACAATTTGGGCTTGGGCGGGCTTGGACAGGTCTCAGCACAACTTGGGTTAAACTTGGACAACCTCTCAACCCGACCAAACCCGCCCGAGTTGCACCCCTATATATTATACAAGCATACTAAATAAATGTAAGCCTTCCTATTTACAAGAGAGCATTTCAACAAAAGAGGACTGATTTTTTGTAGTCCAATTCTGACCACACACGATATTTTAAGCTTATCTGCCCATCTCTTTAACTATTAGAAGTTCTTTTACTTAATCATTTCAAAAAGTGGTTTAACAAAACTGCTTCTAGTCATAAATTCTTTTAAGCAAAAAGTATAAAACAATTAGTTAGTATTAAAAGGAGTTAAAGAAAGCATCAATCAAATCTTAGTTGATGGCTACTCTTCTGTCCTTTGGTTTTGGTCTTTAAAACAAGAAGTTGTAATACAGATAAATGAAGTCCATGAGACATCAATTAAGATTCAAGATGACCAAAAGAAAAAAAAAAAAAAATGAACACCAAAACAAAACAAGAAATACAGAATGGATAGATAACAAAGGGAAAGTGAAGCCAATACTCTTTTTCATCACTGATAAAAAGCCAAAAGAATCCTAAAACACAGCCTGATGGGGTTGTATCACTAAGGCAATACAGAAAAATGTATAATATCCCTGCCTTTGGCTTCTCACATCATCTCTCAGCTTCTACTTATCCATCATGAACATTTTATTATTCAACTTTTAATCACTCTCTATCTAGGTACATAAATCTAACTAATATAGCAACTCCTCGGACGAGTAGCATGACAAATATATAAAAGGCGAGATAGAAAGTTGCAATAGCATACATTGCAGGAACTTAAAACTAAATGTCTAATTGCAACAGGGAGGTTTCCATATGTAGTAAAAGTTCTCAAATAGTTCGGGTTTAACTCAGGTCGGGCTTGGGCAGACAACCTCGGATTACAATTCGAGCTTGGACAGGTCTCAGCACAACTTGAGTTAAGCTTGAACAACCTCTCAACCCGACCGAACCCGCCCGAGTTACACCCCTATGTAAATCTACCACTAATGAAGTGAAAATATCAAACAAAAAAAAAATCATAGGGAGACCTACTGTCACGTCATTATTAATACATCCAATTAGTGGTCTGAAGCTGTATTTTTTTTTGAACTATAAACAGGCTTCTCTTGTTGTACATTTTTAGAGGGAGGAGAGGAGGTGACGCGTGGGGCCCACCCTACACACGAAACTCACGACTGGGGAAACGGTCAAAAGTGCCCACACGCGCTCTGTCCGTTCAGTTTTTTATTTTTTGTCTGCAGCTATCACCACTTTCCACTCTTAACACGAGGAAAAAAAAAAAAAAAAAAAAAAAACAAGAAGAAGGATTATTATCATTTTATTTTTGTTTTTTAAAAAAATTGCAAATTAATGGGAACTAACAAAGTAATTATACTATAAATGTAAACTTTTGTGATGCAACTTTGATATACAAGAAAAATTTGTACCAAGAGCATAAAATATTTACACACAGAAAATTTATATCACTATAAAAATGTAAATATTTTTTCACTAATTTGCAATTACTCCTATTTTTTTTTTCAAAAAATACTTGGGATACCTTTTTCTGGAGATCCCACAATCTTCTTAGATTTTTTGGGGACTCACAACCCCCTTCGGATTTGGGATTGTGGGGTCCCAAAAAATATGGGTCTCAATAATTATTGTTTTTCTCCCCCTTTATATCATGCTAGTGGGTTTGGCAATTTACATCACTATAAAAATGTAAATATTTTTTTACTATTCCATTGATTTGCAATTTTTGCTTTTTTTTTTTCCCTTTATATCAATCAAATGCTAGAGGGTTTGACATTGGTATTATATTTAATTTATTTTGTTTTTTTTATTGGTACATTAAAGTTTTTTTTTTTTTTTTTTTTTTTTTTTTATAAAATTCATTTGATAAAATGGAGAATATAACCCAAAACAAAAAAAACAAAGAACAAAAGAATGAAAGCAAAGTAAAAGGCCAAGTATGCTTGAACATCAAAAGAGATTTTGTACCCTTTTAGGGTAGACGTTTATTTGTAGTGGATACTTGTCTACCAAATATCCAATTTTGTTAAGGAATATACTTCTTGCATAAATCACCTTTTAACCCAATTTTTAATTGTTAACAACTTCCATATTGATCAAATACTACTCATTTTTCTAATCTTTCCTAACATAATTTCTAATTGTTCAGAACTCCTATAATCATAAAATTCTCATTTCTTTATTGAGTTTGTTTTCTTGTAAGATACTACTTATCTTTGATTCAATCTAAGAGGTTTGTTTAGAGATAATTTAAAGAAGCCTCATGTTTTCCCTATACAAAACACCGACCACTCTGACTTAAATTTAATTAACATAAGTAATTAACCTATAACATATTGACTATTAGAGGTGGTCAATTGCATGTGCATCAAACAAGTATGAAGCAAACAGAGATGGGAAGTTCATGGTATTGAGCCACATTACCTCGTGCATCAAATTTAAATAATTTTTTTTTGTTGATAAATCTATTTTTTTTTGAACAATTTTAATGGTGTCAGTTTATGAAAACCTCTGAAAAATTTTATATGATAGTACATAATTCTAAAAAAAAATTCAAATTGAACCCACTACTTCATGCATAGCTCCACCCACGCTAGCGGCGCCCATTTGCCCAATTCCGGTTGTGATTTCCAGGCCTCATGTGTGGATGTCTATTGCCAAGCCCTTGTTTGGGGAGATCATGCAATTCCATAACCTGGATCGTTCTCTGCCTCTTTGCTGTCAAATAGAATAACAACAATTACATTAGAGAAAGTTTTGAATTTTAATAAAAATTATTTTCTAAGTCCAAAAGTGCGAAAATGAAAACAAAACATAAAAGCAAAATCCAAAATTCTTTTTGGTTCACCATAACCGATATTGAACTTAAAATCTACAATGATAAGAGTAGGTATCAATAAGGATAAACCAACCATTTTCAGCTTGTTGGTAGCGTTCATGGAGCTTCCTCTTTGTGACTTCGAGTCTTGCAGCCTCGTCCAAGCACTTCAGTTTCTAATTGAACAAAAACAAAAAATCAGATAAAAATTTATGATCCAAGCAGGTAAACTACATGACATCTTTACAGTCGATACTCACATCTTGTTGAGCAGACAGTGGCTTCTTTTGGATGGACACCTTGTCTGACTTTTGCTGGAACTTTGTCTCATTGTTGACCTTTCGCTCCACAGTTACTTTTGTTGGTCTCCCAGATCCAGATTCAGTGTTTGATGGCTTGTGTGGTTTCACAACAGCAGTTTGTTTCTTCATTTGTTCGCCCTTTCTGTCCTTGGGAGTAACATAAGACTCGTGTGGAACCTGTTGCTTCCGTTTGGGAATGTTATGGTTCTCCAATGATTGTTTTCTCCCATTTTCATACTTCTTATTGAATTCCCCACTGTTTCGAAAATCTGAAGAAAAAAAATTCCCATTAATTATGAAGCTCAAAGAAATGGGGAATTCAAAAAGAAAAAAGAAAAAAAAAACTGAATAGAATAAACTTCATAAGAATCAAGAAATCAACTCACTTCCATCATCATCAATGCCGTCAAAGAACTTTAGTAAGCACAGCCAAAAAACAGGAAACAAAAGAAAAAAGGAGTAAATTTTGTCAGTCTTGATCACAAAAGAGGCTAAATTAACTTGATTCCTCAAGAAAAAGAGAGATGGGGTAAAAGCACACCTGGGACAGCTCTATTGGAGCACTCAGGAAACCTACATCATCCATTGGAGGAGAAGGAAGCCCTTCTTCTTCATCAATGACTCAATGCCGTCGAAGAACTTTATTAAGCACAGCCAAAAAACAGGAAACAAAAGAAAAAAGGAGTAAATTTTGTCAGTCTTGATCACAAAAGAGGCTAAATTAACTTGATTCCTCAAGAAAAAGAGAGATGGGGTAAAAGCACACCTGGGACAGCTCTATTGGAGCACTCAGGAAACCTACATCATCCATTGGAGGAGAAGGAAGCCCTTCTTCTTCGTCAATGACAGATGGGTTCACAGATTCAGGGGTACCTTCTTCAACTATAAGTAACCGTATCAATATTAGAACTCCGAATCAATCAAGCATGCGATGAGATAACGGAAAATAAACATCAATCAACAATGAATTGCTCACAAACAAATCTCTACCTGCAACAGTCGATGTAGCTTTGACCCATTCGTCTACCATTTCTTTCCACACACTGCAATTGACAATAATAAAATTATTAGAATTGGAAAGCATATGAAATTTGTGCTAATCTGATATAGTAAAGAGAAATTATAGAGTATATTGAGCTATAACTAGCTACAAAATGGGAATGAAAGACATTCACTTTACCGAACACTCCACTAACACATGAGAATAAAATCGGAAGCAAAATGATTGAAAACTATAAAGAAAAAAGGATAATAAATGAACCAAGCTTTCCATAATTCATATGCTTCCAAAGGAAGCAAAGAAAAATAGAACAAAGAAAAACAACAAACATTATCATCATCCGAGATATAGGAATCAGCAACGTCTGTAAGGAAATAACATGTCGGTGCTGTTAATGAGTACAGATTCTTTGTTGACAAACACGATAAGGATATATGAAAGTTATTAGCCATATACCAACAATAACTCACATAGTTTAACCATCAACTGACCAAAACTATAACATAAAAAGTAAAAGAAATAATCCAAAGCAAGAGCCAAGAATGCATACCCGATGAGTGTCCGTGCAAGCTGACGAATCTGATTTGATGCATGCTTTCTGAGAGCATTAACCGACTTTCCAATCTCTGTGGCCTGTGGTATAGAGTTGAGTAAGTCACCACACTCGTACAACTTTAAACAAACAACAACATTGCAATTGCTCCAAAAACAAACTCGAAAAATAATGACAATAACAATAATGACTAACAAAAGAGTGTTCATAGTCCTACCTTCATTGTATCCACGGATAAAGCCATCAATTGAAGCCGCCTCAGCGAATCCAACAACACTGAATCAGCCTGTCACAAATTAAAAGCACCAGTTATCACAAAACATTCTTAAATCAGTGAACAGCATGACCAAAATCAATATGCCAGTTTGGTAGTGTTTTCATTCGGTTTGTTGTTTTCATTTACCGGAACATACATTAAAGTTGTTTGGAGTACTATTTCCAAAAACTGTTTTAGGGATAACTTCCTGCAAACAACCCAATTTTAAGAAGAAAAAAACAAAAGTAGTTTCTGGATTTTCAAAAACTGTTCACACACAAATATCAAGGACAAAATGATTTGATCATCAACAACAAAGGTCTAAAAACTTCAAAATTGTTCTATTAGAACTGTGATAACAATCATAATGCTTAGCATTTACAATCTAATCTTCCATACAACAATAGCAGTTCTTGAATAACATTCAAAAGCAACAAAATCAGAATTACTAATTCAATTCACATAACCAAAAAAAAAAAAAAAACAGATTCAGTAAAACTTAAGAAAACAAACCTCATCATTACTGTTATCAAGAATCCCTTTGATCCTCAAGACCTCTCCAACAATCTGACTCTCATATTCAATCTCATTAGTCAATGCCTCTGCTTCTCCATAACTGTAATTACTCACATGATTCATATTAATCTCTATATGATCATCTCCGTAAGTATTCACCTTACTCTCTTTACTAGCACCAGTCTCAAATTCACACCCATCTCTATCAGACCCAGTCTTGCAACCTTCTTCTTCATCATTATCTCTAGACACAGCCAAATCGACTCGGTCGCAACCAACACACCGAGACAATTTACACGAAAACAAAATCTCTGCAATTCGATCTCTTCTCAATCTGAACTCCTGTGGACAATCCGAAGCAGCAACCATGATCGAATGTTCGATGATATCGAATATATCGGAATTGGAAGACCGAAAGTAGTCTCTCCAATCATCCAGGTTTCCAGATTTCGTTGACATCGCTAGAACCCAGATCGAAAAATCGAGTTTTGATCAATACCCAGAAATCAGAATTGGTTTTTTTTCTCTGATTTTGATCGAACCCAGAAACCAAAAAACCAAAAACACGTGAATTTGATGGAGGGTTTTGTATGAAACGATCGAGGAACACAGCTAGAACCCTTTAGTTGAAACTAGTTTTTGATTGGTTACGTAATAGACAAGACTTGTGATATGATCGTAACAGAGATTTTTGATTGAACCCAAAAAGTTTTCTCCGGAAAATCGATTAAAATTTTCTAAGCGGTATTTCAAGGAATATTACGAAATCGAAAACCGACTAAAATTGAAGTGGGTTTTCTAAGTCTATCCAAAATCCAACACTAACTCAATTGGAAAACAAATCTATAAGCTAATTATGGTAAGAGAAAGAAAGTAAACTCTCAGAGGTTTTCTCTCTCTCTAACACTCCTTAGTTTCTCTCTCTAGGAACACAATACCGAGTGCTGGAAAAAGACGAGAAAATTGTAGTTGGGGGGTTTGATAGAGAACAAGAGCAGGTGATCAGCACAAAGAATGTGGTTCGAGGAAGGTTCAACTTCAAGGGGGTTTTACATTCACAGAGACGGAGAGGGAGAGAGAGAGAGAGAGAGAGTTTTACTTTATGAGTCTTTTATGTTTAAAAATTTTTTGGATTGACTTTGATGTGTCTAAGAGAGGGAAAGGTGAGGATTTTGGGAAAGAATTGAATAGAATTTGATAAGATAAAAAAATTAGGGCTATTTTTGTGAAGTTGATATTTTGACTTTTTAATTTTTTTAAATTATATATTTTTATATTTTTTTAAAAAAAATTAAAAAATAAAATTTTAAATTACTTTTTAAAATAGTCCGAACGATTTTGTGAAAATTTTGTTATTGTGGTGGTGGTGTTTGGGGAGTTGGAGAAAAAAAAGTTCAAAAAAAAAAAAAAGGGACTCATTGATTGAGGGGGAGCTTCCGCATTTACTCAACAACTACCCCGTGATTCCTAGTGGTTTGACTTTTCTTTGTGATGTTCAGTTACTCTTGCCGGAGGTCCAGCCATCCGAT